ATTTACAACTCTGTGAAAGAAAATACACATATGTGAAGCAAAGTATACATGTGCCCTTTGTGCAGAAGTAATACTGAATGGATAAACGAGAAACAAATGAGATTGGTTACCTACTGGAAGTGGTTGTGAATGGGGTAGTAGAGATGAGGAGGAAGTGGAACTTCTCAAGTATGTACTTTTTATATAGCTCTAACTCTTAGAACCTGGTGATGTTTCTCATACCCCAAAATTAGTCGAATAATTGAGACCAACCAGATGTGAGTTAGCCCAAAATAGGATGCAGGCAGAAGCAAATAAGACTAACTAATGAATAGCACAAGTTTAGTGAAGGGGGTGGAGATGAAAAGACCTAACCTAAGTAACTTTAGAGAATAGTATTTTGACTGTAGTGTAAAGCTGGAGACAGGAGCTGTAAACAAATCCCGTACCACAATTACTTTCTCACAGTGGTATGCATTAGGAGTTCTGTAACACTTTTATGTAAATATTAGGAATAAGTAAACATAATGTGGATAACGAGAGCCAGTTTTTTTACTGTCAGAACTTACAAATAAGGAGAGGAAAGGCAAGACTGAACTCTGGTGTTAGGTTGTAATCGGAGGTAACAGTATGACTATATGGTTATTGATGAGTATAGATAGTTGGATAGAAATGCAGGCGCGCGCGTGTGTACATAAATATATTTTCTAGTTCTACCTGCTGTGGAGGCATGGAGGAAATGACCCATCTTAGTGTGACTACAGTAACACCCAGATCTTTGTTTCTAAATATTATTCTTAAATAAAAGGAGCCAGAGATTCTTGGGGAGAAGTGGACAATTCCAGGGTTTAGGCAAAGAAATTACAAGATGAGCTCTAGAAATGTTTTATGGTGGCAAAAAGTAAGGACATGCTCCAAAAATGATGGGGGCGTGTGGAAAGAGCACAGGAGTCAACTTAAGGGGATGGGGTTCCTAATCAGCAAATCTGATACAAGTTTATAAACTAATTATAATAATGAGATACAGGATATAGAATAAAATATATTAGTTCATGCTAAAGTGAATAATTCTATATAAATGGAAGTAAATGAATTTGTTTATGTATATTTGATTTCATTTGTATTTAGAAATAGAAGTTGAAAATAAATGGAAAAAGAGGGACACTTTTTTTTTTATGTTTAATTTTGAGACAGTGGGTGAGGGAAAGCGCGAACGGGGGAGGGGCAGAGAGACAAGAAGATACAGGATCCGAAGCAGGCCCCAGGCTCTGAGCTGTCAGCATTGCTCGAACTCATGAACCTGGAGATCGTGACCTGAGCCAAAGTCCAGCACTTAACTGACTGAGCCACCCAGGTGCCCCGGGACACTTTTTATTGTAGAATTTCAGTTAATTAGTGAATGAGGAATGATGATTGTCTTTTCACAAGGTACGTACTGATTTCAAAGGGACATTCTTCAAAGTAACTAACTAGCTAGTACCTTTTGTAAGTGTTAAGGTACTGAAAATCAAAAACAGAGGATCTGTCCCAGATGGGAGGACAGCGAGGAGACATGCTACCTGAACATAGTATGGGGTCTTGGATTATATTTTGGGCCAGGAAAAGGACAGTAATGGGAAAGTTGATGAAATTAGAATACATTATATAGTCAGTAGTATTTTATTATTGTTACTTCTGTCAGTCTTTTCATGTATTTTGAAGCTGTTATCGTTACATCATCCTGATGTATTAGTCCTTTATCATTATGAACTATTCTTTTTTATCTCTGGCCATAATATTTGCCTTGAAGCCTGCTTTGATCTGAATTTGGTCACTTCAGCTTTCTAATGCTTAGTGTTTGCGTGGTACCTTTTTCATCTTTTTATTTCAACCTTCTTGTGTCTTTATATGTAAAGTCCATCTCTTAATAGCATATTTTTTACTCTTTTCTAAATCTTTTCTGGACATGTTTGTTTGGAATGTCTGGTCCATTGTATTTAATTTGGCTGTCGTTTTTGTCGTATCTTTTGTGTTTATTGTTTTTTTCCTGCTGTTTTCAAAGTTTTCTTCCCATTTGGGTTTTAAAAATTTGACTCTGAATTTTTTCTTCTTATTTATAAGAAGCCCAGGGATTATTTTTTTTTCTTATTTATACCACTTATGATTTTCTTAGTCTTTTGGATATAGTATTTGATGTCTCATCAGTTCTGGAAAGCTCTCAGCCATTATTATATCCTGTCTTTTCTACCCTATTCCTGTCTTCTTGAACTCCAATTACATCATGTACAAAGTCTCCAATCTGCTATTCAATCTATCCAGTGATTTTTTTTGTTTAATTTCGGATATTTTTCAGTGTTAGGATTTCTTTTTGTTTTTTTCTGTGCTCTAATTTCCTGCCTATTCAGGCATTAATGGTTATATTTTCCTTATTATCTGTGAACATTGTTAAAATATTGTTAAAATAGCTGCTTTAAAAGTATTTGCAAATTTCATCATCTGAGTAATGTCATGGCTGGTTTTCAGTAATTTCCTTTTTTTTTTTTTTTTAAATTTTTAAAATGTTTTTATTTATTTTCTTTTGAACATGGATAAAAATTTTCCTGATTCTTCAGAAGTCTGGTAATTTTATCCTGGATATCCCGAATAATACATTATGGAGTGACCTTGTTATAGTTTTCTGAAAATTGATGTTTTTGTTTTTTATTAGCCAGTTAATCGTGCTCAGATCACACTCTAAACTTGGTCACTGCTGTAGTGGCCAGTGGCGGAAGTCTCTGGTTCTTTCAGGCTGCTGGACATCTGCTGTGTTCATGCATATTTAGCAGTCAGCAAGAGAGTTGGGCAGGGTGTAACTGCAGAATTCAGTGTTCTCTTTCTTTCACTCTCTCCTTCCTAGGATTTCTCCTCTCGCTTCCCGCTTTGGTGATAGCTTCCAAGTGTCTCCTCTGATTTTTCGGACTACTAAGATGGCCAATTTCTTTCTGCCTTCTAGCTAAGGTACCAATTAGGGCCTTCCTTCAGATGGAAATCCTAGTAAGAGATAGTGGCACTCATCCAGTGCCATGCCCTTTTTCTAAGTGTCAATCTCTCTGGTTTCAGCCCGAGTTTGGTTTCTCTCTAGGCTTTCTGATAGCTGACTATTGTTTTATCCAGAACTTAAAGCTGTCTGTGAAAGAACTACTCCAGCATCACCAGAGGCAAGACTTTACTAAACATCTTTAAAGAGAAACTCATCTTGCTTTTCATACGCCATATATAATTACTACTTAATGTTCTAGTGTAAGCATCTGTCGTATTTTATGTTTTCACTCCCTGGCGACATGGACCTAGGTTGTCCCTCAGTTCCTGATACTATGAAACAGTACCATTTAGAACATTACCTGCGGAAAGGTTTCTTTGGCATCTTTGTCCCAAGGGTAAGCCTGCTGGACTGTAGTGTATTTGCATACCAGTTTGCACAACCGGTCTCATGCGTGAATCTGCTTCCAGCTGGGCACACACGCACACCCCCAACTTTGGATTTACCCAACGTCCTTATGTTTGCCAGTCTGATGGGTAAATGGTGGTATCTCGTTTAAACTTGCATTTCTAGAGATACACACTTATTCACGTGTTTTTCACCTGTTCTGTGTTGATTTCTGTGTCCATTGCCTGATTTTCTGCTATGTTCTTCAGATCAGATCTTTTCTTTTCCTTATGATGTGTGTTGTTTTGGCCATGTCAGGTAAGTTCTTTATGGTCTCAAGGAAATATTCTCCTACAGTTTTTTTCTCTTATATACTTCTCTGCCAGTTTATGATATGAGGTAGAAATCCAACTTTGTTTCTCAGTATGATGCAACCAACTTTTTAAGTATGTTGTGGTTTTTGTTGTTGTTGTTAGTGTTTGGAAGTATGTTTTAGCATACCATTTGAAGGAATAACTTGGTCCTTGTATTGTCTAAATGACTTTTTGAGATCAGATTAATATTTAGGGGGGAACTAATTTAATGGATAAATAAAAGTTTATCTCAGTGGCCAATGCTTTCAGATCTTTCCTGTGTTGACATACGGTACTCACATAGCTCCTTGTTTCCGCAGTTCTTTGCGTATCTCATTTGATCCTTAGAACAATGCCAGTATTAACTTTGTTTTATTGATGTTGAATCTTTAAGTGATTTGCCTAAGGCTTGTACAGCTACTTTCGTATTTCTACCTCCGTGTTTTGTTGTTGTTTTTGAGAATTTGTTTGCTCAGGCAGCTGTGTAGTATTGCTGATAATGAATAAAAGCCACTTCAAATCATTGTTCTGCTGAGTATGTTTTAAAGGTCATATTTATGAGATTCTCTTTTGTTGGCTTATCCCTTTTTTCTTCCCTCCCATTTTTCTTGGAGGAGTTGTCCTAAGCTCTATGACGGTAGCAGTAATGGGTTTCGGGCACACTCGTGCTTTTTGAAGAGAGGACTGTGCATAAGTGGTTTTATTTAGAAATTTGCTAATGGAACCTTAAACGTTGTGAACATTGTTAGACTATGGGAGGTTTCGGATCTTTAAAATCATAAATTTTTTCATAGGATATATATACCAGTAACTATCAACTTGGATTTTAACTGCTTTTGCACTTAGATTTTTTTAAAGCATTTTTGGCATATGCTCTGTTTTTAATAATTTGCCTGGGAAGTTGGTGTCTCTGGGCAGGTCATGCACTTGGAGGTCAAATACTTAACTTGCTTCATCAGTTCTCCTAAATAAAGTTGAAATTACCTGTTATTAAATAAGTTGAGATTATTTTAACAATTGAGATTTGGCTGATTCTTAAAAGGGCCTTTTTAATACTTTATCGTATTGAATGTCTTACTGGTGTTAATTACTCTGAAACCTGGCCTGCCCACAACTCTCCGGTGTTAAAGGAACACTCGGTAATGGCGCTAGCCTGTTTTCTTGCGGTTGGCTTAAGAAATAGGCTAAAGTATCGGTATTATATAGTAAATCTTAATATGTGAGCAAATTCTTTAAAGATAATGCTTTTATTTTTCTTTAAATCCCTTTTTTCTGCTTTTTAGAGGAAGTATCATTCTGCAAAGGAAGCTTATGAACAACTTTTGCAGACGGAAAACCTTTCCGCACAAGTAAAGGCAACTGTCTTACAACAGTTAGGTATGTAATAGTGTACTATACATATTTCTCTTTGTGATTTTTACATGTCAGAGGTGGCAGCTCTGTGGCTCATGTATTCTCTGCTCTTTCCTTCCTTTACCCAGAGATGGTAGAATTAACCTGAACCCGGCATATTTCCCCTTTCAGCCAAGCATTGTCCCTCTCACAGTCCATCTCATGACGTTCTTCAGTGCAGCTAGTCTTTTTACTTTCTTAGAATTATTCTCTAGTACTTAACCCATGGGTGAGGGGGATTGAGTACTTCCTTTGTGCCTGATGTGCTTAGCACCGAATGAGGTTAAGGGATTTGTCTAAAATCACTTAGTGGTTGATGAGCTTGCTTTTTTAGACCTGTCGATAATATTAACTAAAACGTTTCATCTAAAAGTTGTGCAACATCTAATGGTATAGTTTTTGTACACATGTGGTTCTTTTCTCATGTTGAATAAATGTAGCCATTTGGATGTAATGTGTCACTCTGACCAAGAAGACCGTGATTGAGTTCTCCACATTTAATTTTGCTGCTTTGTTATTGAGTCGTGTTTCTTAGCTGTCTTTAGTGTTTGGGTCATCTCCCCCACCCCCAGCTTTTGTTTATTTGTTTTGGTCTGCGCAAATAATTCTTAATTTTTAACCGACATCGTAGTAAGTAATATGAGTGTTTTTGTACTATTTTTACCTAATTTTAAAATTATTTATTATGTTTTTAAATTTTTAACGTTTCTTATTTTTGAGAGAGACAGAGTGAGTGGGGGAGGGGCAGAGAGAGGAACACACAGAACCTGAATCAGGCTCCAGACTCTGAGCCATCAGCACAGAGCACAACGCAGGGCTCGAACTCACAAACCGTGAGATCATGACCTGAGCTGAAGTCGGACACTCAACCAACTGAGCTACGCAGGCGCCCCTCAAATTATTTAAGCCTAGATTTTATAACTGATCTTCATGATATTGATGTGGATCATATGATTATATAAAATAAACACATTACCTTAATATAAAACTTTGTTTTTAGGTTTGTTTTAAATTTAATCTCTGGTTAGAATTTTACTTGAGTTATCCATACTTTTAGGGATTGTAGAGCTTTTTGAATATTGGTTTTTAATAAGTTTACAGAGTGTGTTTGAATAGTGTGTATTTATATCTTCAAATTAAAACAAATTTATTAGTATAGTAAAGAACGATTTTGTGTCATTTCTTAAGTAAAAAGAACAAAGTGATGCCTTTAGCATAAGACAGCTTACTCATTCAGCTCATATTTGAATATGAACTGTTTTTTTAATCCACACTATTGATAATTAAGTTTTTGTGCAGTGAGGAATGCATCAGTAGTAAAAATTCACACAGCTTTTAAATTTAAGAAATAAATTGAAATAGTTTTGGTTCAGTTATGTCTGAATCACTTGTTGTCTTTGGCATTGGCTTACCCTATTTCAGAGTATAGAAGTCTAATAAACGTTTCATGCTGTTGAAAGGAAAAACACTTCTCCTAATTAAGTCTAATTTATGCCTGCATATCAATCCTTCCTCCTTGCTTGTCACTGCTGCTTGAGCAGCTCCTTTTAGAGCTTGTTTCTCTAGGTTCCATTCTTACTAGTAATAGCGGGAGATAAGAGGAACAGGTGAATCAAAGTATATGTGTTATTGACATGTATTTCCATAAAACATAGTCATGCAGTCTCCTTGAAATACATTTTGGAGCACAGCAACTATAATACATGTCAGAAAATAAGGGTCCTTATTTGTTATGTATAATATGGACTATACGCAAAGAACAAAGCTGATTTTGTGCACTTGAAATGATCCACAGCTGAAGTATGATCTCCCCAGCAAATTAAACCAAATTAGTCCTGTGCTATCTTAAAGGTTTTGGAATACAGTATTGCATGATCCAGTCTTTTGATTGCTCACATAGCTATTTATTTATTTAATAAAAGTGTGCACATTTAAGGTGTACAACATGATCTGGTATACATCATGAAATGATTAGTATTGTGAAGCTAATCAGCATCTCCATCTCCTCACATAGTTACTATCTGTGTGCGGTGGGAGCACCTGAAACATACTCTCTTAGCAATTTTCTGTTAGGTAGTATGGTTTTATTAACTATAGTCATTCTGCATTACTCTCTCGACTCACTCATTCTGCATAAGTGTAACTTGTACCCTTGGACCAGTTTCTCCCCATTTCCCCTACCTCCCCTTTCCTGGCAACCATCCTTCTACTCTCTGCTTCTGTGTATTCAACTTTTTGAGATTATGCACTATTTAAATTTATTTGTTAAACATTTGTGGTATCCATTTTATACCATTCTTATTTGCACCATTTGAATATACTTAGACTTGGGTTTTATTTTTAAGCAATTGTCAAACGCTTTACAGTTTTTATTTTAGATAAGTTGTTAATATATGTGGCCATTCCCAGTGAGGTAGGGTTATATGTGTGTGTTATACTCCGAGCTATCATTGATTAAATAGTCTCATATTTACTCCTTGGAAATAAGCAATGGGTTAATAGACTGTCTTCGAGAGTCTTAAAATGCACATAAAATTTTACATGGAGCAGTGAATAGGATTGAACATTTTTATATTCTTTGTTTCATAACTTGGAATGTTTTCAAATACCAAAATTAGAAAAGAGGAACTGTAGTTTGTAATCTAAGTGTTAAGTCAGTGCTTAAAATCATTTTGGTTTCTCTGGAATAAAGTTCTTTATAGGTTGAACTGTACCTCCCATGAGAAACAGACTTCCTTATGGTCAGAATTGGCAGTTCTAAATTTTGGGGATGTGTATGCCAAACTAAATGAATAAATTGGGGAAAAAAAAGAGTATTTTTATTTATGTGTTTTCTGTTTGGTATTCATAAAAACCGAAGAACAATGAAGTCATGTAGGTAAATATTGTTCATCATTTACTGTAGGTTGGATGCATCACACTGTGGATCTTCTGGGAGATAAAGCCACCAAGGAAAGCTATGCTATTCAGTATCTCCAGAAGTCCTTGGAAGCAGACCCTAATTCTGGCCAGTCCTGGTATTTCCTCGGAAGGTGAGACTTCTCAGACGCTGACATTCTGCTCTTGTGTATTCCAGCTAAGAGATTGGAATTCTGAGCTAAAATGTTTGTTTATATTTATAACCTGATTAGTATATTTCCCTCTCTCGATATATTATCACAAAGATTGCTGGAAAGTTAAAGTTTCTGAGTGCAGTAGTTTTCTCTGCATAATCTGGTCTGCCGGGACATTTCTTACTTTGCTTGTTGGTTTTCATTTGACTTGAATTATTGCTGGTTTTTAAAAAGACTTATCGCATAGTAATTCTTCATTCTAGTACCAAAATGCCTTTCCTTCTGATTTCTGGTATTTTTTTTTTTATATGCCTGTTAAATAGAACAGAATTAATTTTTCATTTTGCCTGGTGACCACCGGTAGCCAATGGAACCTGGCTATTTGTAATTTTGATTAATGATACATACATTAGAATGGACATATTTGATTAATAGTAGGTCTCAAATCAGTTCTACTTGAAATCTCACAGTGAGAAAGTGGATACATTATTATTGGATTTGTTGGAAAGGAGAAGTGACATAATAATGAAAATAGTGTTCTGCAAGTCTCTAAACTTTTCTCTGTACTTTAAAATGCCTAAATTGTGCTCATTGGTTATCTGAAATATACCTTGGGTATATGTATCAGATTATATTTTTGGACCATTGTTAGATTGTATTTTGGTTCCTAACTGGTTTTAGCTTTTGCAGCATGGTGGAAAGATCCATGGACTAGCAGCTGGGAGACTAGATTCAGGTCTTGGCTAGGCTACTGTAGAATCATGAATGATACACGTTACAACTTTTTGATGCTTCCGATTTCTTTTAACCTTTTAAATAAGAGAATTATATTAGGTCAGTGGTTTTCATTAGGGGCTGTTTTGTCCCATAAGGGACATTTTATAATGTCTGGAGACACTTGGTTAGATTACAACCGTGGGGAGCGCCGCAAGCAATCTAGTGGGACAACCTCTCCGACAAAAGATTAACTGACCCAAAATGTTGGTAGTGCTGAGGTTGAGAAACCCTCGTTTTAGATTATCTGTTAGGTGTCTTCTTACCCTAAAGGTTTCAATTTTATGATTTCTTTTGAAATTATTCTATTTGGCTTTAATTTTAAACTCTTTGAATGAATTTGCCACGTAATCCCATTAAGTTTTAGTATTTTGTATGGTTTCACTTTTCCTTTAAATTTAGCAAAGTGTGTTTGTATGAGATGGAGTAACATTAAGGTTTTTTTTTTTTTTTTTTTTTTTTAAGAGATGTTTGATTAGTCATTAATAATGTACCACAAGGGTTGGCAAGGAAAGTACCTCTTTTTAGGAGAAATTTTCTAATACCTTCCAAGTCTATAAAATCATCTAATTGGGTTGCTCCCTGGTAAAGCTTAAGAGTCCAAACTTTGTCTTTCTCTTTCCCGGAAGATGTTTGGGGCCAGAGACCAGAACTTGCCATCTTTGTATATTGCCACAGAGTGGCTGTTTGGTACACAGAGTAAAAGAGCTAACTGAACGCTGTTTGCCTTCCGGGCCAGCGCCATTGCCGCTGGTCAGTGTTGCACAGCGGGACACTTCGTACACGGACCGGACAGGAGGGCTGGTGCCGGGAAGTGGGGCCTGCCTGGTCTTCATCTCTCGGGTTAGCGGTTACATACGGACATTTCTTTTCATACAGGTTAAAAGGCATGTGTACTAGCAGTTATTTTCCTTTAAACCTGAGATAAAGCATAGTAGTTTAATATGATACGATAGCACTGATATCTTACTTTAAAAAAAAAAAAAAAAAGAATCCTAGGCATCGGAACATCTAAGATTCTGTTTTAGTAAGGCTGTAATTTTCACCTCAGTGAGCAGTATTCCACAGGAGGGTTTTTTTTTTTTTTTTTTTAAATTCACTGATTTTACATGTTAAGCCACTGAGATGCTTTTCTTTGAATCTTTTCAAGTAAAATTTTCCAAATACACAACATGCCTTACTTATTTCCCAAAGAAAGAATGCCTAGCACAGTTTAACTTGTTTTGGAGTTCAAGATTATCATGTTAGATGTCATTTATTTGTGTGTTTGTTTGTTGAGAGAGAAAGAGAGAGAGAAAGGGTACAAGTGAGCGAGGGGCAGAGGGAAAGATAGTATCCCAGGAGGGGCAGAGAGAGAGAGAAATGGGGCTCACCCGATGTGGGGCTCAGGCTCATGAACTGTGAGGTCCTGAGCTGAAGTCAGATGCTTAACAACCGCGCCACTGGGTGCCCGTTGTTCATTATTTTTTATTCTTAAAAACATAATTTGACAATTATTTTAGACTTTTTAAAATTATGTTTTTTGACCTCCTTTCACTGCCTTCTAATGTGTTGCTTCCAATCTGTTTTGTTGTGAGAAAATCTTTAAGAAGTTATTAAAGCTACATGTACCCCAATGTTCATAGCAGCACTCTCCGCAATAGCTAAAACATGGAAAGAGCCTAAGTGTCCATCAACAGATGAATGGATCAAGAAGATGTGGTTTATCTATACCATGGAATACTCCATGGCAATGAGAAACCATGAAATCTGGCCATGTGTAGCAACATGGATGGACCTTGAGGGTGTTATGCTGAGCGAAATAAGTCAGGCAGAGAAGGACAAATATCATATGTTTGCACGTATAGGAGGATTAGGAGGAACTTGATGGAGGAACAAGGGGGAGAAAAAGGGCGGAAATGGTGGGGGAAAGGGAGAGAGGCAAACCATGAGAGACTCTTGAATGCTGACAAAAACTGAGGACTGATGGATGTGGGGGGGAGGGGGGGATAGGCATGGAGGAGGGCACTTGTGGGGATGAGCACTGAGTGTTATGTGGAAACTAATTTGACAATAAACTATTTGTAAAAAAAAAAAAAAAAAAAAAAGAAGAAGAAGTTATTAAAGCTCCAGGGCGCCTGGGGGTGGTTCAGTCGGTTAAGCGCCTAACTTCGGCTCAGGTCACGATCTCATGGTTCGTGGGTTCGAGCCCCTGTAGGGCTCTGTGCTGACAGCTCAGAGCCTGGAACCTGCTTCAGATTCTATATCTCCCCCTCTCTCTGCCCCTCCCCTACTTGCGCTCCATCTCTCTCTCTCTCTCTCTCTCTCAAAAGTGAATAAACATTAAAAAAATTTCCATAAAGTTATTAAAGCTCTGAATGAAGCCCTCAATTGTCAGTAAGCAGCTTTGGGATTTGATGACCCTAATATTTCTAAGGCTTTTTATTACTTATCTTCGCATTCAGGTCTGTGTTGAAGATGTCATTTGGCATGTGTATATCATAATAAAAGTGTAATGTGGTAATGCTCTTATAGTAGTACTGGCAGTATCACATAACTGTAGAGTCTTAGAACTAGGAGGGATCAGGGAGGTCACCTGCTTTACTCTGTAAACCCTGTCATTTTACAGATGTAGAAAGTGAGTTCAGAGGAGTGAAATGGTTTATCTAAGGTTACAGTCACCCAGGTAACTAAATCAGAACAGGAACTAGAGCCTAGGTTCACTCATTGCTTTTTCAAAGACACAAGGCTATCTCAGGAGAACTTTGTTAAGTTTTATTAGAGGGAAAGTGGTTGGTGGTTGGACTGGGACATCTGTATTTGGGCACACTGGTTTCCTACTTTCACTTTGTAGGAATGGAATGTGAAAACATTGGTTTTGGGAATTACTGCTTATTCCTACCAGTGGTTAGGTAGATTTGTCTATAAATCCTGAGATTGGGCTTTGATTTAACAACAACAAACAGAACGTATTTTCTACTATCTGTTAAGCCTTCCCTTTCTTTGTGGTGTCTGTCCCTACTTGGCATTGTCCGAAGTTACTAACACACTTTGTAAAAGTTTGCAGGTGCTCTCTGACATTGCCTTCTCTATCTCAGTCACTGACTTTTCTTATTGCTCAATCCACAAGATTAGTGATTCCTTAGGCTTATTTTTACCTCTCCCTTGTAGGTGTCCTATATTCTTAAACCCTCTCTTCTATATGGATGAATTTCAAATCTAGATTTTCTCCATTTCAAGGTATTAAATTTCAGGACCACATCTCCTATTCTTTACCTAACATTATCCGTTTTACTGTTCTCATCTCCCGTCAAAGTATGCATATTTCAAAGCTCATTCATCATATTCTTTTCCAGACCAGCTCTTCTCCTTTTATTTTTGCTAATGATGTCACCATTTCTTTTTTAACTCTCTTTGGTCAGGCTTAAAATCTAAGTTATAGCCTCCCTGCTATCCCCTCATGAATATCTAATCAGTCAGTCACAAAGTCCTGACATATCTTTGGTTTATTATTTCTCCTTTCTTTTTCTTTCTTTCTACTTTCGTTATCCCCCCCCCCCCCCCATTTTGGCCTGTTCCAAGCCAGTGAATATAGCTGCCTTCTATTTTACTGTCCATCAGTTATTTTTCTTTGTTTATCTCTACACCTTGCTAGCAGATTAATATTCCTAAAAGGTGCTTTCATGGTGCCATTTCCCTTGTGAGACAAAAACTTCAGGGTAACCTCGGGCTGGATTTATAATTCTCTCCTCTTTGTGCTATCTTATATGCATTAAGTTTTGCTCGTACTGTTCAAACAACATTTTGAAATGCCCTCTTTCATCTTCTCTGTCTGAATCAGGGGTTCCCAGACTTTTGGATTACATGAGTCAGTAAAATTTCAAAGAATAATTATGAGGATCTAAATATAGTAAAAACATTTAAGATTTTTTTGCCATTTAGTTAGCCAGTAGTATTTCAAAATAAGTCAGTTACAGTATAAGTATTAATGGAAAACTTGTATATGTAAGTATATGTTGCTGTGTGTCTATTTTGTTTTCATGGCCAAATTGCTATATACTGGCTGATAATTGGGAATTACTGATCTAAACAATATGCCTCTATACCTATTCAGATTCCTTAGTGTTATGCTTCCTTTCTTGCTTTTCCTAAGTCCTGTAGTGTGTATTGTGGTGTCTTCTACCTTAAATTCTCAAACCAGTTCTTGTCTGTGCCAGACAGTTGATTTGGCATCATGACATTTGTAATGTGTCTTCAGTCCTCAACTAAATTGTAAGCTCCTTGAAGGCAGGGACTGGGTTTTGTTTCTTCTTTTTTCCTTAGCACCAAGCACTAAGAAGATAATTTCTGTATTTATAATTTCAGCTGCTGTTCTGTGTATCCATCAGATATATCTGCATTAAGAAGATAACAGGTTCCCCTCTCTCTCTCTCTCAAAATAAATAAATAAGTAAATAAACGTTTTAAAAATTTTAAGAAAAAAGGAGCGAGGGCGCCTGGGTGGCTCAGTCGGTTAAGCGTCCGATGTCAGCTCAGGTCATGACTTTGGAGTCTGTGAGTTGGAGCCCCGCGTCGGGCTCTGTGCTGACAGTTCAGAGCCTGGAGCCTGCTTCAGATTCTGTGTCTCCCTCTCTCTCTGCCCCTCTCCTACTCAGGCTCACTCGCTCGCGCACTCTTTCTCTCTCTCAGAAAATAAATAAACATTAAACAAAACAGAACAGGTCCTTGAAACCTTACGTGTCGTGAAATCTCTCACTCGCCTTACTGTACTGTTTTTGATAGTTAGCTTGATATTACCTGGGTCTTAATGTTTGTATTCTTTACAAATTACAGAATGGTTGACCTCAAGGTTATTATTTAGGAAAGGAGAATTAGAACCTGATTCATTAAGTCTTACCAGAATAGAATGGTTTTCTTGGTTTTTAGGTCTATATTCTTCCTGTATGTAAGCTATATAAATAGATCAAGCTATATAAGTGGAGTGGCAAGTGCATGTGTGCGCGCGTGTGTACACTTTCAGCTCTCAATATAATAGTGAAGTAATATGGCCTTTAGTTATTTTAGTATTGTTCATTAATGCAGCATGCTTGTATAGTTTATTGAATGGTTAATTATAATGTACATTATAATTATATATACGCATCTGCACACACACATTCACAGAAATATGTTCGCTCATTTGGACTTTTAATTTCCTTTGATATATGTACTCCTTTTTTTTAGCAAATGAATTAATCAGTATTAATGGAATTGTCTGGATTTTTTTTCCCCCTCCCCTCTCAGGTGCTATTCAAGTATTGGGAAAGTTCAGGATGCCTTTATATCTTACAGGCAGTCTATTGATAAATCAGAAGCAAGTGCAGATACATGGTGTTCAATAGGGTAAGACTTTATATACAAATAATGGTATTACACTTGATACATGACAGTTGTATATCACATATAATATGCTTGGTGAAGCTGAGTCGTTCTTCTTAGTTGACCCCCTTTTTCCCCCCTTAATTTCTCTTTCTAGCGTGCTATATCAGCAACAAAATCAGCCTATGGATGCTTTACAGGCTTATATTTGTGCTGTGCAATTGGACCATGGCCATGCCGCAGCCTGGATGGACCTAGGCACACTCTACGAATCCTGCAACCAGCCTCAGGATGCCATTAAATGCTACTTAAATGCAACCAGAAGCAAAAGTTGTAGTAATACCTCTGCACTTGCAGCACGAATTAAGTATTTACAGGTAAAACTTTTAAAAAACAGTTTTTTAAAGGCACATGTTTCCCCATGACACTCAGGCAGGAGGCGGGTGGCTGGAAAGTTTGTCTAGTTGTGTTTTGCTGTCTATAATTTGTTTCCATATTTTGTAAACATACCATAGCTTGTAATATTATTTTACTTTTCATTTTAAGTAAGATATGCAGTATTTTAAAAGATGCTCTTTTGCACATTTACTGTTGATGTATATTAATTTACATAATTTTTTCCTACGTACTGTCTACATTTTTAAGTTGTCATAGCATTTTAGAGAAAAGAACACAAACACTGTCTTTCACTCTTGCTTGGAGTTTCATGAGAAGACAGCTATGAGAACTTTGAAAACAGAGCTCAGCTTTGTTTGAATTCTCACAAAGGTCTATGTTCCGGTTACCCTCTTTATACTTAGTATCTTTCTGAAACCCCAAATTAAGAATCTATTTTCTTTTAAAAACAATTAGTTATAGCATTTAGGAAGATTTAGTGGACTTGCTCTTACTCAAGTAGGCTTGTGTTAAATTTGCTTTTTACATAATTTTTCCTAGGCTCAGTTGTGTAACCTTCCACAAGGTAGTCTACAGAATAAAACTAAATTACTTCCTAGTATTGAGGAGGCGTGGAGCCTACCAATCCCCGCAGAGCTTACCTCCAGGCAGGGTGCCATGAACACAGCACAGCAGGTGAGAAGTTGGGTTATGTTCTGCAGGTGCCCAGCTTTAAGGGTTCTTTTCAATCTGTAGTGGTCAAGCATATTTTACTAAGTACAGGAGGCTTTTATTAATGACAAAGCCTTTGGATTTAATTGTGAAGGGAATCTAGATCGAAACAAAACTCCCTCTGATACGGGAAGCAATTTTGGGGTGCCAGTTTAGAACCTTTGTGCATTTTCATGATTTTGAAGGAGATTTCTTAAAATAATGCTGCAGTGGTTTGTTTAATTTCGAAAGCAGTTTTTCAAAGGAAGGTACACATTCCTCCATTGATGATTCATTTGATTTTGATTTTCAATAATTGCCATCAGCGATGTCCACATAGCTTTGAAAAGTATGCAGTTTGTAAAGTTTTATAATTTGAAGGAATGAACTAAGAATATATAGAACCCTATTTTTGTCTTCCTTCTGTGATTCTTAGGCATGTAAACCTCATCATCCAAATACTGAACCTGTATTAGCCCTCAGTCAAACACCAATTTCACAGCAATCCTTGCCACTACACATGATTCCTTCTAGCCAAGTAGATGACCTGTCCAGTCCTGCCAAGAGGAAAAGAACATCTAGTCCAACAAAGGTATATATTTTAGAGAAATAGAAAATCACAGTCAAAAAGGAATCTCCCAACTGCCCTGAACTTGTGCAGTTTGACTATCTCCTGTCCTGTATTTTAAATCTGTGGACATCAAAAGAGTGAAAGGTTTGAGTTTTTCCATCCCAAATTCTTAGCATCATATTAAATACAGAAAGTAGGGTTCAATTTGCATTCATCAAATCATTTTATTCATCTCCCTGCCGTTAAGATCTCAACACACTTTTCATCATCACTTTCTACTGACATTGAGATAAATTTATTGCTGGATCTAGTGGACAGCGTGGTGTTTAGGTTAGCCATTTGGGCCATAGCTTAGGGGTGGGCCTTTTTGGGTGGCTGATTAAAGAATCAATATTTTTTTGAATTTATAATTTCCCAAATTTATTATGCATGTAAAATTATTTTTAAAAGAATTTAATGTCATAACAATTCTTTATATGTAAATATTCCAATTCATAGTCATTTGGCCTTCATTAGTCACTGTTGTTAACTCTGTGGATTTAACCAAATATTCTTTAATTTTCTTTTATCACTCTTCCTCAGAATACTTCTGATAATTGGAGTAGTGGCCATGCAGTGTCACATCCTCCAGTACAGCAGCAAGCTCATTCATGGTGTTTGACACCACAGAAATTACAGGTATGTAAGGTAGCGCTTCTGACACATTGTTTTGCCTCTTGAAAAGGAGTAGAAGAAGTAAGCTTTACATTTTTAAGTATTAATTCTTAAAGTTGAGTGGCAGTAAATCCAGTCAAATGCACTATAAGTAAAACAAACCCACGTTTATCAGAGTAATGGGATCATTAGTCCTGATTTTCACTTATTTTTGGTTTTATTTTTAAACAGGCAACATTCACATAGTTCACACCGCATCCGTATGGTTGTAGGCTCCACAGAGTAAATCCCTGCCCGCTGAGCTTTTAGCTTCTGCTCCTACTCACTTAGTTCTCCTTCTAACAGCCAGCCAGGGTTACCAGTTTACCTGTCTTTCCTGAGACATGTCAGGCCTGTACAAGGAAGCAGACCTGCATCCTCCTTCTCTGACATGTGACTCATTTTCTCCTTTTGTATACAAATGGCAGAATGCTCCGTATATTGCTTGTTAACAGTGTATTGTGTAGGCCTTTCCTTGTCGGGATGTAAAGAGCTTCTTTGTTCTTTTATGGCCATAGCACATTTCTTGATGTAGATGCACACCTTAAGCAGGCCGCTAATTTTGGAGAGTCAAGCCGTCTTGACACTTTTCCTATTCGAAACAGTGATGCTTTGAGTGTACTTGTCATAATGCATTTCTGAGCTTAATGAACTTTCTGTGTGGATACTGAAAAATAGAGTAGTAATAAGTAAAACGTTATGCCTGTGTGTCTCAAATATCACATTACAGTAAACCTCTTCCAATGAATGTTTATTTCTTAATTTCTCAAACTTCTTAAAGGACTTCATCTCAGGGTTAGTTGCTGTTGGTCAGGAATCAGTATCTTTGACTAGATAGCGGCTCCGAGTTGGTCCAGTCATTTCAGGACAAGGTTGCCTAGAATAGTGAGCTTGAGCTGGTTTCTTAGATATGTCTTTGACTGTATTCTCCTTTCTTCTTCTTCTTCTAGCACTTGGAACAGCTCCGTGCAAATAGAAATAACTTAAATCCAGCACAGAAACTGATGCTGGAACAGCTGGAAAGTCAGTTTGTCTTAATGCAACAACACCAAGTGTGTATAGCATTTTTTTTCCCCTAAGATTTGTTAGCGTTTTGAGTACTTTTATTGACTGAAACGTCATTTTAGAGCATGGTCATGCCTGCTTCTTTCTGCCAGTTTGTGGTGGAATTTAGTAATCTTGCTTCTTAAAATACTAATAATGGACAGAGAGTTTTAGGGAAAAAACAGCTATAAATTTAATTTTGAGCACAAGACTTGGTCTTTTGTTACTTATTTACATGCTGTTTTGCCTCTGTTCTGAGGGTTTATTTCTATTATTTAATGCTTAACAAGCTGTCTAAACCGAGACGGGGTTCTAGGACTTGCTGAGTTTGTAGGATCTGGCATATAAATGTAATAGAATGAAAATTGGAGAACCCTCATTTTGTGGTTGGGAAAAAGACCTGTAAGTTCCACAGTTTTCTTAATTTTCAGCTGCTTTTTTTTTTTTTCCCCATTACTAAAGGGATGTTTCTTAAAAATAAAACAGATTTCTGCTTTTCTGAGGAAGCTAATCTCTAAGTATGAACAAACACAGTTTCTTGTTTTTTAAAAAGTGTGTATTTTTCAGCCTAGAGAAATGAAATGTTAGGGTAAGATCAGCGATTACCCGGTGATACACCTTCGCATTTTGGTTCTCTACCTTCTGGCCCACACAAAGAGCATTCATTTTTCATTCGCTTTTTGACAGATGAGACAAACAGGAGTTGCACAGGTACGATCTACTGGGATTCCTAACGGGCCAACAGCTGACTCATCACTGCCTACAAACTCCGTCTCTGGCCAGCAGCCGCAGCTCGCTGTGACCAGAGTGCCTAGCGTCTCTCAGCCTGGAGTCCGCCCTGCCTGCCCTGGGCAACCTTTGGCCAACGGACCCTTTTCTACAGGCCACGTTCCCTGTAGCACATCAAGAACGCTGGGGAGTACAGACACTATATTGATAGGCAATAATCACATAACAGGAAGTGGAAGTAACGGAAACGTGCCTTACCTGCAGCGAAACGCACTCACTCTACCTCATAACCGCACAAACCTGACCAGCAGCGCAGAGGAGCCGTGGAAAAACCAACTATCTAACTCCACTCAGGTAATAGAAGAACCAGCTGCTTTGTTGGCTTCTCACATATTACTTCTCTTCTTTTTGGTTTTATGCATTTTGAGAGAAAAAGAAATAGGAGTTTGAGGAACTGTTTTTATGAGCATTTCATAGCACTATAATGTTATTAGCTACGTTTTGACTCCATATATATATGTATGTATGTATATATATATATATACATACATACACATATACATACATATATACACGAGCATACTCTTTTCCATTATAAAATTCTATACACGCTTGCATGCCCACGCACGTACACACACACAATCTTGGAAATTTCCAGAGGTAGAGAAAATAGATCATACAGCCCCCTAAAACTCACTGCTTCCATAGTTCATTTCGACATGTACTGCCTACCTAAGATCAGATGCTTAAGTGAATACGTTTTAGGTATTCACTGTGAAGGGAGGAAAAGACCATTAAAGAAGCAGGCACTGTAAATTACTCTGAAGTGTGACTTTGGTGAAAAGTGCTGTCACTGTCAGAGTACCTAGGGGGACACATAAACCAAGATGTTAGAGTTTCCAGGAATTGGAGAATTTGGGAGGGGAGGGGGCTGGTAAAGTGTGCCTAGAGTATAGATAATGAGGAGGGAATGGTGAAATAGAGGCTGAGGAAGGTAGAGGAAGTTGCCTAATTTGTCTTTTTTTTTTTTTTTCCCCCCCCTTTAATGTTTATTTTTGAGATAGACCATGAGCAGGGGAGGGGCAGAGAGAGAGAGAAAGACAGAGACAGTCAGACAGAGTCTGAAGCCGGCTCCAGGCTCTGAGCTGACAGCACAGAGCCCGACACAGGGCTCTAGCCCACGAGCCATAAGATCATGACCTGAGCCGAAGTCAGACACGTAACCAACTCAGCTACCCGGGTGCTCTTCCTAATTTGTCTTAAAGGCAAAGTAGAGTCACTGAAGTTTTCAAAACAGAGTAATGGATTTCATGAATATTATTTCTGTCAAAGATATGTGCTATATTTCACTCAGTTCACTGTTAGACCTATAATTTCTAAGTTTTTACTTCTGAATATTTATGCACATCATTTTTCCTGTGTTTTGGATGGTTTCCATGGAGCGTGTGTTTCAAAATGGAGCTGAAGGGTCAAAGAGTAAGGATCTAAAAAATGTTGCCAACACACATTGCCAAATTACTTGTACTTTTCTTAGTAAGAAATATTTGACTTCTTGCTAGTTAGCCTTATACTATTGGTAAAACCAAAATAACTTCATTTTTCAAAGACTTTTAAGTTTATTCTTGAAGTACTATTCTCGGCGGGACCATCTTTTCTAGAACGATTAATAGTTTTATTTATTCTTAAATGTTGAGCACCTATTATGTCCATGTCCCATTCGAGGTTCTGGGGATACACCCGCCAGACACAAAAATCCCTTCATTCATGCAGGTAAAAAGGCAGTAAACAAATAAGCATTATATAGAGAGTATTAGGTAATGATATGATTAGTTCTCTGAAAACATGTATTAGAAAGGAGACCGGGGGCACCCTAGAGATTGGTGGTAGAGGATTCACAGTGATAGATAGGAAGGTCAGGGAGGGCTTCACTGGAAGATGACATTTGAATGAACACCTACCTGCAAGAGTTACAAGGTGACCTTGAAGTTATTTGCGGTGAGAGTGTTCCAGGTCTCAGGAGCGGCAAAGAGCGGTAGGACCTAAGGTGATAGGCGTGTGTTTTGCATTTTTTGAGGTAAGTCAAGGTGGCGAGGATGGCTGAGCAGGGCGAGCAAAGAGTGAGAGGGGAGGGAAGTGTGGTCCAGTTGGAAACAGGCTGGCTAAGTCATGTTCAACCTTGTAGGCCATTGTTTGTAAGGGTATTGGATTTTATGGAGTTAAATGGGAAACTGTAGGGGGTTTTAGAATGGAGGAATGGCATGATCTGACTTAGGTTTTAACTAGGTCCTCTCTGGTACTCTGTGGAGAGACTAAAGGAGGCAAAGGTAGAGATGATGTGACCGATTTGGAGATTATTGCTGTGATCCAGGTTAAGAGATGGTGGTGACTGGACCCACAATGGCAGCATTAGAAGCGGTCAGCTTTTGGGTTCATTTGGAAGGTAGAACTGGTAGGATTAGCTGGTAGAGTGGAGTGTGAGAGGGAGGAATAAAGCTAGCCTGGCCCAACTCGAGGGGTGGGTGAGTCTGGGTGAGAGTCCCTATGGGGTGGGAGTAGATGGAGGAAAGAACTCAGGACTGGGAGCTTTGGGGCATTCCAGTGTAATAGGCCAGGATATTGAAGAACTAGCAAAGAAGGCTTATAGAGGAGTGACCTGTGAGGTAGTAGGAGATCCAGGAGGATGTGAGTGATGGCCTGGAAGGCAAGTGAAGTAAGTGCGTCAAGGAGGAAAGCATGATCAAAGTGTAAATCAAACAGTGCTTCATGGATCTAGTAAGGTAAGGGCTGGGAATTGGCCATCCGAGGTATTTGGTGGCATTGCTGGGCCCTAAGGGGCACAGGCCAATCCACCCGACGACCATGACCTGGTTTTTTTTTGTTGTTTGTTTGTTTTTAATTTTGTTCTTTATGTTTTTATTTTATTTTTGAGAGAGAGAGAGAGAGAGAACAGCTGAGGGGCAGAGAGAGAGGGAGACACAGAATACGAAGCAGGCTCCAGGCTCTGCGCTGACTGACGTGGGGCTTGAACTCACAGACTGAAATCGTGACCTGAGCCGAAGTCACATGCTTAACCAGATGAGCCACCGAGGCGCCCCTTGTTTTTGTTTTTACAGCCCACAACTGAAGAATGGTTTTTGCATGCCAAAAAAATGTTTGTGACAGAGACTATATGGCCCACAAAGCCTAAAAAACTTGCTTTGTGACACTTGAGAATACATTTGCTGACATCTTTGTGGCCTGGTGGGGGCAAAAGCCTGATTGAGGTTGGCTTCAACATAAACGGGAAAGAGAGAAATCGAAAGCAGTAGTTGTAGACAGTCCCAGCACAGACACCTTGAAGTTGTGTGGGCTGCACACCCCACAGTGCCGGGACGCCATCCCCGTAGACCAGGGCATGAAAAGGAAAGAGAGAAACAGGTGGTAGGGAAGGGAAAGTGGGATTAAGAGTTGTTTTTTGTTTTAAATTTAAGATGGGGGAAATCAGAAAGAAATTGAAGGTGGGTGGAAGCTCATGGGCAAGGTTCAGTAGAGAGGGAGAAATTAATGCGGGAGAAAGAGGAGAGAATTGGTAGAGTAGGTGAGAGGGTGGGATTTGGGAGGGTCCTGGGTCTTTGAACATTAAAGGACTGTTGAAAAGGAGAACCTGAGAATTTTGTTAGGATGCCTGTAGCACCGAGGTATAACTGGCAGTTAATAAATGGGAACCTTTGTTAGGATTGTAACTGATGATTCTATTGTTCTTCTTTAGTACATCTACTTCCTGGTTTGCTTAGTTTTGAGATTTTCAGTTAAATACTCTCAAGTCTAGTTTGGGAATTTGCTGTCTTTTCAAAACATAATTCCAGTGAAAGAGCCTTTGGTTTGCAGGCCATGAGCCTTTGTACAGGACTGAATACTGACTGGTAGAGAGCCCCAGCCTTTGTTTCACAGGCTCCTCAAGGCCAGTGTCCGTAGAAGCCTTATAATTTAGATAATGTGGTTGGGAGAATTGTCCAAAAAATGTTGTTGAACTGATTCTAGGTCAGAGGTTTCCCAGATGCGGTTGCTGCATGATCATCGTAGGTGAGGAGTTCTGTCACTGGTATTAATATAATTATAGAGGTGTTTTCAATACTATCCTCCATAAACCTTTTCAAATATTTTTCTCCAGTGGTAGTGAAATTTCTCAACTTGTAATGACACCTAGACCATTGATAGACTTGTATGGTACAACTTCAGCTTTTGATGATGAGAGGATATAGAGATCCATACTCATTTTACATTACAGTTATGAAGAGTTTATTCAAAGGTACCACTTAAGGGGCGCCTGGGTGGCTTAGTCGGTTAAGCGTCCAACTTTCGCTTAGGTCATGATCTTGCGGTTCGTGGGTTCGAGCCCCGCGTCAGGCTCTGTGCTGACTGCCAGCTCAGAGCCTGGAGCCTGCTTCAGTCTGTGACTCCCTCTTTCTCTGACCCTCCGCTGCTCACGCTGTCTCTCTCTCTCCTAGAAATAAATAAAAATATTTAAAAAAAAAAAAACAAAAAAAAACAAAGGTACCACTTAAGATATGAAAGTAAAATTATAGGAGCTGTAGGTCATTGTTCAGCAAGTACTCTAACGAGTTTATAACCTAACATATTTGATTTGCAGATAAAGATGATGTAATAAAATGGTCAGATTTTTTTTTACTTATCTGCATACTGTAATCAGTGTAACTTGTTAAATGATTATCTTCTGAGTAAATATTTGATG